GTATAGGCCTCCCTACACTAAAACGGCTGGGAACACCAGACGCAAATAAGAAAAAAACGACATCCCGCGGCTGGTCAAGAGAATGTCGCCAAGAATAACCCACAGCAGCAGTAATGACCACCGTTAGGCCTCACCTTGAATCTGTTGGCATTTCGCATGCAGCCTTCCTCGGTCAAGGGGAAGTCGAATGCCCCAACCGCAGGCGTCTTGTTGATGACGTCGATCACCGACCACAAGATCTGGTAGGTGGTCGGCACCGACAAGTCAATCATGAGGGCAACATCCCAGTAACTAGCAGCGCCAGCCAGGATCCTCAACACCACGGCAACGCGGACTTCTACAGCTATGGCGCCGTTGATTGGCGATCGCAGTGCTGTGGGGTTTCGGAGCGATGCGCAGATAATGTTCGAAGGATGAGCGTGTGTCGGTCAGGAAATATGTACCAGTGTCATAGGGGGTGTGATTGCAATCGCCAGCGTCAAAGGACGCATTTCATCGTTAAACTCGCCAGAGTACCGGCCCAATACACCTCCCGACAAGGGTTGTGAGACGGCTCTGTGTTCTTCACGGAACACACAACTAACCTCGCATATGCATATGAGGAGCACGTGTCGACTCTTGTATGCTATCATTGCGGGATACGACAACCTGTGTAGGCTCCCGACGAGGCATGTATAATGTATAGTGGTGCCGGCGTGTGTTGCACGCTCTATTCATACTGCTGAACTTATTTCAGCGCCACCATAGTACCTTCCTGTCGTTCCCATACAACGACTGCTGCTGTATGCATGTGCAGACACTGCTGTACCTACTGCTGTAGAATAAGTGCTGCTGCGTGTATGCATACCCTGGCTGCATGTTTCGATGGAGTTTTTTTTTGAAAAAGTGTGCAGGTCAGGATATGGAGATTCAGGGAGCACAGATACACGTACATAAAGAGTAGGATCTGAAGGAACAAGTGATAATGGATTACTGTTCTCCGAGGGTCCCCAACTCTTATGACCCCCAACGGCTGCGAAGAGTTGATGGATCTTTAGGAAAATGGGAAAAGGAGTCCACGAAGGCTCGCCCACTCTCCGCACCACCCTAGCTTGACTGAGTTCGCTCGGTCACGCTTGGCATTCCTCGCCACATTGCACCAAAGGAAATAGCCAACCTCCGGTGGCAGGACATAGCCACCACAACCCCGGACTCTCCGCTCACCCAGAGTAGAGGGCATCCATATTGGCGTTCGACGAAGCGTTCTATCTTTGCATCTTTGAAACCCACGTGTGAAACATGGGCAATCCAAGGAAGCAAGGGAAGAAAAAGGACGTAGGATCACATCAACAGCAGCAACAGCCGAAAAAGCTTAGGCAGCTGACGACACCCAAACCGCCAGCCACGCCACGTCCCGACGCTACTGCTAACGCCAACCATGGCTCAGCTGAGCCCCAAGAGGGTCAGCCATAGCCTACCCAAACGGGAGAATCCGCCGGGCCGTCTGCGAGCGTAGCACCCTCACAGAGCGGTCACCATCGCGGATATTTTCACGCACTGGTTGGTGAGGGTCGCGACAGCGACAACAACAGCAGCACTAGAGACGACGCCGAGGCGGGCAACCTCGACACCGACCCAACCCCTGAGGATGACGATGACGACAACGTCGACGACGACCTTGCGCACGACATCCTGCAGAACCGCGCCGACGCCGCTAGTCAGCAGAGCTCACCGCTCCTGGCAAGCGGCGGACCGCTGGAGGCCGTCCTCGTCAGTGCGGTGTCAAAGGCAGTGGAGGCGGAGAAGGCCCCCGCCGGCATGGGTCCTTAGCATGCTTATGCCGGGAGCCGCTCACCAGCAAGACATCCAGAAGGTGAATCCGCGTTCGCTTGCCCCCGATCTAGAAGCCGACAATCGCTCTGGCATGCACACGACAGCAAGTGTTCAACAGACCCCTGCTGGGAATATGTCTACACCGACAATTTCACCTATTAACCCGGTACACCACAACACGGTAAACCAGGCCTCACCGAACCAGGTAAACCAGCAAACGGTAAGCCAGGACAACCCTACCCCGGTAACCCAAACCACGGTAAACCGGGACGTGATTAGCACGGCGCGATTTACTTTGAAAGCTACTGACCTACCTCCTGATAAGCTAGCCGTGACTGTAGGTGGGACCGTAGTGTGCGCATCCACGAAGACACAGCCAGTGACGGCTCAGTCGACCACGGAGGCAGAGTATATTGCAGCCGGGGAGGGCGCGAAGGAAGCGTTGTTCGTGCGTGGTGTTCTGTCGTTCATTGCGCCCGAGACGAGCGGTGCCACGATCAGGGTCCGTGAGGACAACGAGGGGGCTCTCGCGTTGGTGCAGAACCCTTTCAGCTCGGCAAGGAGCAAGCATATCGACGTGCGGTTCCACTTCATCCGCGAGCTCGTCAAGGCGGGCAAGATCACCGCAGATAATGTCTCGACAGAAGAGCAGCACGCCGATATGCTGACCAAGGTCCTTGGTAGGGGCAAGTTGGAGTACCACCGGAAGGCTCTGATGAACCTGCCGATGTAGGGTTCTGGTCTCGTTTTCGTGGCGTTTGTTTTGTTTTGTTCCAGCAGTTGGCGCGTCTCGGACCATGGTATGTCACGCAGGAAGCGTTGGGCAGGGGCGTCACCCGCGGCGGGAGCTTAGGGTTTTTGACCAATTGCTTCGGGTGTGTAATCAGCGTGGCCTGTCCAATCTGTCCTGCCTTGGTCCTGCCCTGATAGTGCGGCCGTTGGAATCCTTCGTGATAGCGACGGTTTCTTTTATCTTTTGAGTTTGTAGGCGAGGGTTTTTGATCCGGATGGCCGAGTTTTTTCCCTTGCACCCGTTGTTGTATGAGTAACTTAAGTAGATCTGGAGTATCCATGCCCCACTGATGGTTCCTCAATAGCTTGACGAACCGGGGAGAGTGTTCGTGTGTCTGGATACGAGCATGGTAGATCTGCTAGCAGAACGGGGGGGTACGTAGACAGGAGCATGTGTATGCCTGAAAAAGGCTACTATGTGTGGGCCCCCTTCCCCGAATTCGGGAGGGCCACTTCTTCCCTTCCTTTCCTCGCACCCGCGGGTGCCTAATCAAAGAGAGTTAAAGCGTGTCTTCTCCTCCCAAGTACGGACATACCAACAGATCTCCCGGTTGAGGTCGCCATGTTCGTTGACGAGGCCACCGAGGTACCGGAACTCGGTCGTCTGGGCGTATTTCTGTCCCGCGACTTCGATGGTCAGCGGTGGAGGCGGGGCGGGCTGTTATGTTGTATTTGGCTTGTCCTTTGCGCGCATCAGGAGCGTCTCCGGCTTCTTCTCCGACGCCGTTAGCCCGAACTCCCCGAACACCTCAACGACGATGGTCATCATTCTCGCCAGTCCTTCTGCAGACCTCGATACGACGCCGGCATCATNCAACATCATCCTCGCTGAATCGGATGACAACGGCCTCGAGGACCTCGGCGAAGAAGATGTCGAACAGAAGTGGGGATAGCACACATCCTTGTCGCACGCCCTGTGTCACGAAGGACCAGTCCGATAGTCTGGAAGAACCTGGAATATTTACAAGATACCAAGTACAGCAGTCGACCCCGCTTATAGACACACCACGTCCCGGAGTGTCTTAACGCGGGAAGTGTCTGTGAGATTTCGGGGCCACGAACTCACCGTCCTTGGGGCCAATGTAGGCGAAACATATGTCAATTACGCGCATACGCAGCAGGAAGATGACCACGAAACGGCCCTGATGGAAACCTACCACAAAACGTGATGTGAAGGCCGCAACCACTGCTCTTGTACTTCAATACTGCTGTATATTTTTCCACTTTTCCACAGACTCTTCTATGGGCTGTAAGAAGCCTTTGCACTGATTCTCTCCAGATGCGCCCATGTGTGCCCCGAGCTTGTACTATTATATGTACCATGCCTTAATACCATGGTGTTATTGTACAGACAGCACTCCAGACAGCAAGTACGCTGTAGTCGACAAACATTCATTTTGGTAGACTAAAGTGTTGGACAGGACGGGGGGGTGATGCACCTGTAAGTCGAACGTAGTGCGTGGGCGTGTAGTTTGAAGTTTTGGGCACGCAAACGTACAATTGAGGCCCGCACTTAAGAACCCCCTATTTTGAGCGAGGCTCAGTTCTTATAGGCTGCCCCAACCCGAGCACGTGTTCTTATTGGCCATGTTCTTATTGGCGATGTTCTTATTTCGCCGTCCCATTTTTCCCCAGCGACATGTTCTTGTGCTTATTTCAACACCAACTGGCCCTGTTGGCGTACGTTGTATGACGACGTACTTTGTTGGCGGCTGTCAGCTGCACTCGGCGGAGTGTTAATAGTGTTTAGCATGAGGAACAATGCTGTTGTTTGGTACAAGAACACACCAAGGCATGCACCAGCAACTGGCAACCATCTTGGTCCACAAGGGTTACGTTGATCCTGCGTACCCTCCCCGATCTACTAACGCTCTCAACCAATACCCAGGAGCCTACCGCCGCATCCAGATCTCCGGTGTACTTGTCTGAGGGCAGCTTCATCTTGCGCGTACTCTGGTCTAGCTCCAGCTGCACACAGTAGTCGTACAGGTGACCAGTGTCCTGCTGAGATTNTATTTCGCCGTCCCATTTTTCCCCAGCGACATGTTCTTGTGCTTATTTCAACACCAACTGGCCCTGTTGGCGTACGTTGTATGACGACGTACTTTGTTGGCGGCTGTCAGCTGCACTCGGCGGAGTGTTAATAGTGTTTAGCATGAGGAACAATGCTGTTGTTTGGTACAAGAACACACCAAGGCATGCACCAGCAACTGGCAACCATCTTGGTCCACAAGGGTTACGTTGATCCTGCGTACCCTCCCCGATCTACTAACGCTCTCAACCAATACCCAGGAGCCTACCGCCGCATCCAGATCTCCGGTGTACTTGTCTGAGGGCAGCTTCATCTTGCGCGTACTCTGGTCTAGCTCCAGCTGCACACAGTAGTCGTACAGGTGACCAGTGTCCTGCTGAGATTGCTGAATGATCAACCCTCCAAAGCACCCCATCCCCAGCCTAACGAGCACTCCACGTCGGAAAAGCAATCTGTCGAGAGCAACGGGTTTAACTTCTTGAATGCGAAAGCCTGTCGGGATCTCCATTCCTTGTGTCTCGTCCTCCGGGTCTTGTGGGTCCATGCTGTTGTCGTCGTCGAAAAGTTCTAGCTCATTGGTCTGGGTTTGAGACGTGCCTGCGAACGGGGCACCGTGAAACACCACAAGAAGTACGGTGTCACGGCCGAAACTCAACATGAACCCATTATATTTGCTCGTAGTCGTGAACGCGGAAACAGCACATCAGCAAAATCCAAGCAAATATCAACATGGACATCGTCATCAACAAGGAGTTGACAATGACTGGGTCTAGTGCAAATCAAACTTACCGCCGTCGTCTTCATCATCGCTGGAATCAGCGCCCTCCGCAACCGTCTCACGTCCATCACCCTCCTTCCCCCGCCCCTCAGGCTCATCGCTGCCGTTCTCCAAACCTTTTTTCGTCTTTGCTACAGTCTTCATCGTTTGCGAAGGTGTACGGCTTGTCCAAACCCTCCAAGGTGATCCGATCATCGCCTGAGCCGTCCACAGTCATGGCCATCCCGCACTTTTCGAAAAGGCGGGATCGGAACGCCTGTTGGCTGTTGAGTCTTGCCATGGCCGCTCCAATCCACTGAGTGATCAGTACCCGCCGATCAGAAGCTGTCAGCACCGCGGTTTCCCACCTCTCGAGGTTTTCCGACTGCTCGAGCCACATGTCCATCTGTCTCCCAGCTTCCACCTTGATAAATCGTCCGGCTCCTGCATCAACTGGCAGCACCTCGTCCGTGTACTCCGAAGGGCCAGACCAGGCGAGAGTGTTGCACTCCTTCGCTCCTTGGACTCGTCCGTCGTCTGCGCGTGCAAGTTGTCCATGATGAGAATGAACCTCGCGTTGGGAAGCTCACCCGGCCCGCGCATCAGGCTTTCGCGGTAGGACCTCTTAGCCCACTCCATACAGAACTTTTGGTCGGTCCAAGCATTCTCCTCGAAAAACAAGTCCACGTCCTTGTGGTACGCGGCCTTCTCCACCGGCGAGATTCGCTTCCCCGTGCCTCGGAAAATCACCGAAATTCGCAAGGTCTTCTCACCCGGACCAAGGATGACTTGCACGGTGAACTGCCTTTTCTCTAGGCCAGGAAAGGGCTGTGAGATGGCGACATCGTTCGCACCTCGCTCCTCCCACGTATCGAGCAGCCCGTTTACGAATGCCAAAGGCACTTGGTCCACATTCCAACGCTCCCAGAGCTGGAATTGGCCATTCTTGGGAACTCTGGACTCCCTCTCTGCGACCGTCGTAATCGCCGATACGTCCGACTCATCGGGCGCCCTGTACCGTACCGGCTCTTGCAGGAGCATGCGAAACAGTCGGTGGAAGCGCTGGATCTTTGGTAGGCGCTCCTCAACAAACTTGTTCTTGAGGTTGGTCCGACGTCTTTTGGACAGGTTGTGCCTCTTGGCCCATTTTCGTGCCCACCTGAAGGATGCGCGGAACGCCGCCGCCCGTTGGTCCCCGGGATACATCTCTCGCACGAGCTTCCGGAACGTGATCGTCAGTCACAGTGTCGATACCTTCAGCTTCCTCTTTCGCCGCTCCACGAACATCTTGTAAAGCCTCTTTTCTGCCTCAGGAAACCACCGCTTAGGCTGCTGCTTGGCGAGGAGGCTCTTCTTCACCTCGTCTGCGGCCGCCGCGACTATGGCCTTCTCGTCCTTGGCTCACCTCACGATGTCGCTGTAGTGAACCTTGAGACGATCCTCTAAGTACTGAAGAGGCGTGCGCTCCTCTTCCTTCCAGAGGTCCGCGGCGTTGTCCTCGAGGATGCGCAGCTGTTTGACAGCATTGGCTTTGAACCTATAGTCGTATCGCCTGCGCTTGGGAGCTCCACGAGTTTCCTCGGTTTCGCGGTCCATAAAGCCGTGGCTTTCCAAGTCTAAATCGAGAAAGTGCTTCTGCTGGAGGACAAACGAAGCCGCCCCCGTCGCATCATCGACCTTCACGTGCCAACAACGCCCAGGCCCGGTTTCTTCCCACGGCAGGACACGCCCTTCAGATTCTTCCGTAGCATCCGCCGCAGCCGCACGCCGTTGGACATGTTTGCACTGCTGTGCTGCGTGCTTACGTGGATCCCAAGGCCGTGCTCGTTCACTAAGGTCATGTGACAGTGAGGGCAGGATCGGCGGGACTCCGGGGCCGGAGGCGGGAAGCTGATACCGGATACGAAATCTTTCACTCCACCATGAGTCCGCTCAATCTGCTCGGTGCGATGGGAAAGGGCGGAATTGCCGTGTAGGGGATTCAACGAGCCATGTGACGTGTCAGTCGCTCTTAGTTGTGGTGCTGTTGAATTCAAACTTCCGTGGATGCCGCTGGCAAAAGTATCTATGCACTCTGAACGAATACTTCCTTGAAAAGATTATCGTGAATCACACGAGAGAGTGGGGAGATGAAGTCTGTTTCGTTTGGGTCACATTCTAGACTGATACACTTACCTTTGTTTTTCATTTTTTCTCTTGCTTAGACTATCGGAAAAAAAAAAAACTGTGTGTGGAGACCACCTTCATAAAGGTTGAAACTCCCCAATGTTTGTCGAGGACGAAACCCTCTTTTCCACAACGGCGCCGACGAAGAGATGTCAGGTGTCTGCTTTTGGTTGCAAAAGACACGGGTTCAAAAATCGCTGCTCACCTGATTTTCTTCCGGAGTACGGAAAAAAGAAAAACGGTGGGTGGGCCAAGAAAACGATGCACTGTCTATCGAACTCGAAACTTCTGGCAATGCGTGGCGGAAGTGGCGCACCCGCACACACGCACAGAAAATTGTTGGAAAAAAAGGTGGTTCTACTCGCCGCCAGCCGGTCGGGTTCCGGTTACCCCAAGAAGACTTCTCTTGCCTAGCAAACAAGAAGAAGCCTCGAAAAAGGGGGGGGTAATGTGGAGACCACCTTGATAAAGGTTGGAACTCCCCGACGTCTGTCGAGGACGAAACCCTCTTTTCCACATGTGTAGCAAAAAAAAGCAACAGCGTGCGTCGGATACATATGTAACCGAACTCACCGGTTGCCCGCTGCCAATCGAGAACGCGTTGCAGACGTTGCCGCCTAAAGTGCTTTTCGCAGCTCTCTCCCTGGCGTGCTTCCCTCGATCCACCTTCCTCCTCGCGGTACCCGCTGCAGCAGCAGGTGGGTGCTGAGAAGGTGGTGCAGCAGCACCTCGTGCGCTGCTGGCATCTGGTTGGGATGACAAGGACAGGCGGGTGCTGCTGGTAATGCCCTGGATTTCACCATCAATCTGCGCGATCCACTCTCCTTCGTCGAAGATACCGTTCTGCTTCAACCCCCACGCGCTCTCGATGGCGTCCCACCGCTCCTTCGCAACGGAGTTTCCCGCCTTCACATGTGTTTTTATCGTCTCGAAGTGACTGTCAAGAATCAGACCCCGTCCTTTCAACTCTGCAAGTTTGCCAAGATCTTTCAACAACCCATGGGACAAGGGATTGGACAGGGACATGATCCCCCTGTACGGCAGACAACTCGTGGCCCGCTGCACGTGCGTGGCCTGGCAGCCGCGAAGGGGGCGCGACGTGTACAGTGCCCACCCTCTCCTCTGCAAAAATTGCAGATTCCGAGGTGTTGTCTAGACAATGTAGACTATGCACCCACCTTCGGCACACCTAGACACCCCCTGCCAAATCCAATATTTGGATCACCCCCCCGCCCGTACCCCCCCTCCCCGTTCGAATGTTCGTATCTCGCAGCTGCTGAATGTGCTCTTGTTCTTATCTTTAGCANCCCTCCCCCCGTTCGAATGTTCTTATCTCGCAGCTGCTGAATGTGCTCTTGTTCTTATCTTTAGCAGCAGTGGTACACCTCAGGCGTGCGTTCTTATTCTTAACTGCAGGTGCAATCTGAGCACGTGCGTACGTGTTCTTACCGGCAAATTCTTCATTTTTTTTTTTTCGCACCATACAGAACCGGCCCGCACTTAAGAACCGAGCGAGGCTCGCTTCTTGTTGGCTGCCCCAAGCCGAGCACAAGTTCTTATTTGCCAGGTTCTTATTTCGTCGTCCAGTTGTCTCCAGAAACGGTGTTCTTGTTCTTAGTTCATCATCGATTGCTCAATTGGTGCACTACTCAACTGCACTCGACGCAGAGTTTCATACCCGCAAAAGACCTCCCCATGGGGCAACTGTCAACCGTCTTGGTCCACAAGAGTGACGTTGGGGGTGCGTACCCTTCCCGCCCTACTGACGCTCTCAAGCAAAACCCATGAGCCTACCGCCGCGTCCGGATCTCCGCTGTACTTGTCTAAGGGCAGCTTCATATTGCGCGTACTGTGGTCTACTTCCAGCTGCACACGTAGTCGTACAGGTGGCGCTGCGGAGATTGCTGAATGATCAACCCACCGAACCACCCCATGCCCAGCCGAACATACACTCCACGTTGCAAAAGCAATCTATCTGTCAAGAGCAGCGGGGGTAGATTCTTGAAGGCGAAAGCCCGCCGGGATCTCCATTTCCTGCGTCTCGTCGTCCGGGTCGTCTGGGTCCATGCTGTCGTCCTCGTCCAAAAGAGCTAGCTCATCGGTCTGGGATTGAGACATGTCTGCGACGAAGGGTACCGTGAAACACGAGAAGGAACGTACGGGTGTCATCGCCGTTACTCAACTGAAGTGAACGCACCATTTGTTCGTAGACGTGACGCGGAAACAGAATATCAGCAATATCCCAAACAGCACAAGAAAATATGAACAAAAAGGACAATGAATTAACTGTAGTCTATGTAGTGCCAATCAAACTTACTGTCGTCGTCTTCATCGCTGTATCCAGCGCCCTCCATGCCCTCCCCGCTGTTGGCACCGTTGCGCTCATCCCCGACGACCGGCTCGAGCCTTCCGGCGCCCTCCTCCTCCCGCCTCTCGGGCCCATCGCTGCCGTCCTCCGAACCTCCTTCGTTCTCGCTGGAGTCTTCATCGTTTGCGAAGGTGTACGGCTGGTCCAAACCCTCCAAGGTGATTCGATCATCGCCTGAGCCGTCCACGGTCATCGCCATCCCGCACTTTTCGAAAAGGCGGTGTCGGTACCCCTGATTGCTGTTGAGTTTTGCCATGGCCGCTCCCGTCCATTGAGTGATCAGTACGCGC